GGATAAACCAGCTAGGTGACCTTTTTTTCGTGACTATTTTACCACAAGCGAAAGAGAAGATTGTTTACTGACAAATAGGACTCTTGAGGATGAAAGAAGAAGAATGGGGAGCAAAAAAATTCACTCATAGGTCTATCGCTTGGGCAAATAGTGCAGGGGTCTATCGTCTTCCCGCAATTAGCTCTATTTTTATTTACCAGTGAGGGCACAAGTTCAATATCAGTTTGTGGAAATTATCCTTAAATTTTAATTTTTCAAAAATATGTTTTCACAGTACAGTGAGTACACACATGTTCTGGAAAATTACACTCATAGCTTAATACTTGAAAATACCAAAACATTGGGTGTCCTCTAGCCACATGTAATGTGGGGGCGATGGAGGTCTAGAGCCTCATCCGTGATCCTGAACCCTCGAAATAAAATCCAATGTCATGGGACTTAAAATGGGCCTCAGAACATGTAGGATCGTATTTGCATGATACTTATCTAGCGTAGGGGTCCCCAAAAGTCTGCTACCCTTCACAATCCTTGTCCCTTAGTCCCTCCAAAATCTTAACTAGGGCCGTGGGCCCCCCCGTCCACAGCCTCAGATTGAGTTGCTTTCTGGGGGAAAAAAGAGCACATGGAGGGTTCAAAGAGAGACCCACATGACATTGGCCCCTTTTGGCTATCAGATCACCTCAAATTGTTCGTTTTGCGATTGAACTCTTGGGGTTAGGGTCGATATATGCGTCCAAACACCCATGTGGTGGTGGGCTCCACCCATGATTCTGGTAGTGGAGGCATGCAACAAATTGTTGGTCAAGCAGAGGCCTATTTAGATCCCTGTTAGGGCGTGCCATGCAATTTGACAGTGTGTGATGTGTTGCGTGACTTAGTTATGGCAGGTGGTTAAGAATTTAAGAGAATAAATGTGATGATCAAGATATTACTTTGTGTAGGAGTGTATAAGATTATAGATCTCAATCTTCAACTTGAGTTTTGACGTAATGATAGAGATATTTAACACATTGTTAGGACAACCTACGGTCAAATCTCACTGATAAAAAATTTAGATAATATTTTAAGATAAAAAAGGATATCGCTACCAACTTTCTAAGTTTCAGTCCAAGAAACAAGTGTTTACTCTGCAAAGACATACTAGAGCATAAAATCATAACGCTACTTCAGAGTTTTAGTACAGTGGCAAAAAACTAACAACTTCGGTCAGTTACTGAGTTTATGTTTTGCTGCATTCTCAATTCCAATTCGGATAATTCGAACCGTTCATTATTATTTCTGCTTACTGTTATATGCGTGCTAGAAAGGAATACCGAAGCTAATGAGTAGACAGTGTAACAGTGAATGCCAGATTGTCATTAGTATGGTTTTGACAATGCAAATGAGGTAGTTGAGACTTCATTGTGACTCTTTTTTTTATTTTATTTATCAAATACCCTGTTCAATATTAATTAATGATGCAATACTTTTTTCTTTTTCTTTTTTTTTTTTTTAACTATGAAAGTTACATGTGTAGCATCACCATATTTCCTGACAAAGGAAATTTTGAACTTTGGACTTCCTTTTGGCTTGTAATATACTCAATTTAATTTGAATTGACACGTGGCTTGGGTTAGATTCACGCATTAACCTGTCAACTTAACTGTTTGGCTCCATTGGGGAATTCCCCCATCAGCTTGGAACATTCGGTTTAATGGCTGGGGTNGCTGGGTTTGATCCACATTTAGAACCGAAACTAATTCAACCTAAACACATTGGTGAAAAATTGGAACCCGGATGAAGAGATTTAAGTTATGCTACGACAATTTACAGTCCAGCATCTCTCTCTTTAATAAATTGCGGTATGGCTACTAACGATATCAATATAGCAAAAATAGTTGCGATGAAGACATGGTATTGAAGAGTTATTAGTTAATATTGCTTTCTTGCACACCTTATATCCTACTTAAAGGATATCTATCCAGTAAAACTTAACTATACTTCGACAGGTAAAATTGATTCATCAATTTGCATTCGACAATTTTCAGCTATTCATTTTTCAATGTACACAAGAATATAAATCAAAACAGTTTATTACACATCTTCCTAAATGAATAGTATCTTGAAAATGGACTTATAGATCTTAAATTTCTGAATTTCTGAATAAATACCTGAGAAGTTCTCAAGAATTTGAAGGCCTTAAAGCAATTAGCAGTCCGTGGTGCATTTCAACAGAGGCTAGAGTAAAATTCAGAACCTCTTTTAAAGGAATCAACATTTTCAATTACTTTTCCAAACTCTTCACTTTTCACAACTCCTTCGTGCTTACTGGCATTGCAGCCCCACACATGAACAGCAAGTTGGCGACACTTCGGAGAAGGTAATCTTAGATATGTGTTGTACCAGTTAATAACATCAGCCTTTTGAATTGTTCTTAGCTCCTCTGCTTCCAATTTTGACATGTCAAATAGATACCTACAGTAGGAACATTATGATACACGTCAAGTGACAAAAATTTAAATTTCATTAGTACCAAAAATTGATCGCCATGAGGATTACTTGAAGAATAAATGAATTCCAGAGAGACATTTCATGTCAGCATCAGCTGAATGTACAAGAAAAACAGAAAAAAGTGGAAGAGAATGAACGAATACCTTAGTTTTCCGAAGTATTCTTTTTAATTTTATTTACATGAAAGCTATAAATTAACACTCATGATTTTCCCCTTTTGTAGCCTTTAAGAAGAAAGTAAAATGCAACTTAATTTCTTTTGACCTTTGAAAATAAGGCCAACAAAAAAAAATCAAGTTAGCTATCTAGCAAATAAATCTGAGTTATCGCGTTACCACCATAAAAATAGCAACTCATAGAGAAATATATCATCTAGTTAGCTGACTTGCACTCCATCAACTACAACAATACAGAACTAGCACTGACACATGTATCAGATGTTACACAATGCCCATAGGATTCAAAAAATTTCTCCCAATTTAATCCTTGGATTTTATCTTTAGTTTCTAGCGGATGCACTCATTTCTTACTTATACGCCATATCATCGTAATAGAAGCGTTCTTCTAGCATAGAAAATGCCATCTTGAAATATAAATCGTGAAACTGACCTGGATGTTCTAGGGAAAAAAGTTTGCCAATTTCATACAAAGAGGTGAACATGACCCTGCACGTGGAACTGTGAACTGGTAGCACATACGGAAAAGCATGAAATCATCAAGCGTTCCATCTGACTTCCTAAAGAAACAGTTCTATATTTGTATATATGGTCACCAGATTATGATGTTAGAACAATAGCACCAAACTCTCTAAAAATTTTGGATTGCAAAAAGAATCCTCAAAAAATCTCAATCCTCTAGAAGACACTCATCAACAATCATCAATTTAGCATCCTTTATGCACAAATTCACTTACACTAACCTCAAAGAGAAGCTCTTATTTTATCGGTCTCATGAATTTAGCATCCTTTATGCACAAGTTCACTTACACTAACCTCAAAGAGAAGCTCTTATTTTTCTTCTAAATTAACATCGGAACTTCATATTAACCTACCCATTAGAACTACCACATACAATGGGAAATGGTAGGTAGGTAATGTTGAAAAGGCGCTTAATAAGATTTGGATGTGTTCTAGTGCATCAACACACTGAACACAAGAAAAAGTAAACTCACGTTTTCACCATACGACATAATATTCTTGGTAAACATCCTTTATATTTATGAAAATGCCCTTCTTACCATCGTAAAGCCAGTATTTAACTCTTTATATTTATGAAAATGCACTTCTTACCATCTTAAAGCTGGTACTGTAAGTGAATTCGAGTTGTACATAGAGTGATGGAGAGATAAGAAATGCAAATTCATAATAGAACTGTCAATATGGCACCATATCCTTTTTATACGTATTTCAACAAAAACCTATACAAATTTAAAGTTCAGGCAAAATGCATGCTCCTTAATGATCGTAAAATGACATGAAAATCCAAAATCTCAACCTTCCCACCAATAGTACAGGACAAACCTTAGCTGGTTTAGTCCGCGCAGCAATCAGATAACAATCATAAACAATCATACTCCTCAACATGATTAATGATCAGAAACTTGTCAATGTATCTTATGAGGAACATGTTATCTTTCAGACATACTGTTATCATCTTTAATGATAAATGATACTGCACCAAAATCAAAATATTCACAGGAATTTCACAACAAAAAGTATATGATGACACTTTATCAAAGGTTACATGGTACAATGAAACAAAACATGGTCCATTTCAGGAGAAATGCCTCATGCTTCCTTAACCATAAGAAACATGAACTGGTCATATGAGTAGATGACTGTTGAATAAAAATGGATGCAAACCTAAGACATGCAACAAAGATAAATGATGTCTCATGCTTCATTAATAATGCGAAACATGAACTGGTCATATGAATAATGAGTCTTGATTAAAACTGGGTGCAAACCTAAACACGCAACAAAAGACAAGTAAGATGAGAGAACAAATACCTCTTGCACGTGATTTGATTCCAGTAATGCCCAGTTTCATATGAAAGTGATGGGTCCTTTTCCAACTTCTCTGCTATTAGCCCTGTCCTATGGTTTTCATAAGATTCATCATCAAGCTCATCCTAGAATAAGAAAGAATTAGTTGAAATGCACAGAAAAGGTTTGAATTTGAAGTTCTTAAAAGCCACAGCATAGCCTGGAAAGGACAACTTCACGGGAACACCTTGTATTATATGTTTTTAGAATTTCTTGAGGTTAAGCAAACTGAACGCACTCATGAGCAAACATGGTGATAATGTAACTGTTCTTACAATACGGTAGATACTTTTGTCTTCGTATCAAAACAAAACCAAATAGGAAAAATAAATAACATAAATGATTTCCAAGGTCTAGGCAGGGCGGTAGCAAAATTAATGCGGGCTAGTTCAGTGGTAAATTACGACAAGAGAATCTATGAGACTAAGAAATGCAACAGTAATTTAAGGATTGTGGTTCCTGTGAAAGTAAGAATGTAATGATAATAAAAGAGCTTGTGAAAACTGCTATATTAAAAAGGATTTTGAAGCTTATTTCTACGAATTTAATTTATGCAATGAGGTTGAATTTTGCAAACAAGGAGGTGTTGGATCATATGGTACAATTTCAGTGAAATATTAACTTTACATGCAAGATGAGGTTGGATCATTCCAGTGACCAAACTATATTCCATCCCTATGTGAATTTATGCTAAAAAAGTGAAAAAGTCTGGACATAGAACAAATTCTTAGGTCCGCTATACTAGCTAAGGGCAAGGTCTGATGAAAAAAGAGCATAGCATCGTGGAAATGCTACAATGAGCATGCACATTTTTCCTGGAAAAGGTAAAAAATTCTAGGCAAAGGATAAGATATCAACTTAATTGCCTTGGCATCTAAATGAAAGGGCCACAAGTTTCTGTTGCATGTCAGGTCAGGGAGTAAAGTGAATTGTAGACACTTGGGAAGTCCATACGTGCGCAAAAGGTTTTGTCATTCACAAGAGTGAACCATGGTGTGATAGCAGGAAAAAAACCAAGAAAAAGATACTAGACCTATAGATAAGTTAAAAACAGAAAAACAGCGGAGCACAACAAAACACAAGGGTAATACAGGAAGAAGTTAAAAACTGAAAATATGAAGGCTCTTTTCAATAAGATTCATAAAGAGAGTCAAGAAAATTTATGTTTTACTACCTCAGACATGACATTCTTATGCACCCAAAATGCTACATGAAAATATGAATGAACCTTCATGACATGGAAAAAAAAGATCCATACAAAGTTAAAGAACCAATAAAAAGCTAAAATAAGATTTCTCCAAGATACTGAAAATGGATGCTTACCAATAGCTGAGGGATATTGTTCATAAAGTTTTGAATTCTTCTGTGCAAATGAAGTGGACCATACTCTGACGATTGAACACGAAAACAAAATCCTAAAACACGGTATGTCATCCGCGGACCACTCTCAACAACATAACCAAGTTGCTCCTTTGTCCTAAAGTTCAGCACAAAGAAAGGAAAGTGGCATCAATTTATAGAAACAATGAAGTAGTCTAATGAAAATTCTATTTAACAATCAAATCATATATTTACCTTAATTGATTGAAACATGGTTCTTCAACAATATTGCTAAATAGATCTGTGATGGCCCGCAATCTCGTTGTTTCTCTTCCCTTGTCTTGTTCAATTTGGAAATAAAGCTGCCAATAACAATTGAACTATATGAAAATGCATACCACAGAAGAAAGATAAGCACAAAAAAATGTACAGCATATCAGATGGCCATCTAAGAAGAAATGTCCCGTATCAAGCAACAAGTTCAATATGTGTAAACCACATGCTCCTGCTGTTAAGATATGTATACCATACACCATCCATGGTTATTTCAACTGTCTATTAATTCAGAAAAACTACATCTGACCAACATCAAGCATTTGGTTCAGAACTTACAACTCCTTAAGAAATTTTGCTGAAAAGGGCTCTGCTGCTTCTTCTATCTGTATGTGTCATTCTACCTCGCACCTTGATATTGCAGGGTCCAAATAGTCAGGTGAGCATGTGCTCGAGCAGCACATCCTAATGAAGCCAGTTAACATATACGTGGACCCAACAAAGTTTCCCAACTACAGCCTAACCCCTAGGTGCTGGCATCATCACAGAAGGCACTTCGCCTAAGTTGCATGAAAACGGGTAGGGGTACTGGTATATGGGTGCCGGACATGATGAATTTGTAAAATGCATCGTAGCGCGGTTCGGTTACATTTACACTTGAAATTAATAATTTACATGAGATCATTATTGTTTTTCAATTCAATTTTTTAGAATTAAAATTCCTATCACACTTTACGTCTTATTATGTTGATTATAATAAATTGGAAACGGGTTGTTTTGAACTGGACACCCAACCCAAACAACCCTTTAAAACCATAGTTTTAAACTTGGGTATGAGCTGAGATGAACCCGACTCATGGCTAACCAGTTTCAATAAATGGATGTGAAGTGTAGGATACACGTCCAACAAGTATATGACAAGTGTTTTAACTTAAAACATATGTCATATAATTGAATACATATACGAATAAATGTATGCATATATCCAAGTAGTGTCTATGAAGTTTCGGTACCGTATGTGTCACATACGTGTTAGGAACAAGCACGGCTTAATGATAGGAGTACCCAGGTAACATAGCACTTCGCCGAGTTTGATAAAATAGGTTGTACAGCTGAGTCATACTCACCAGCTATCCACTAACAGATATAAGACATGGCATGAGACAACAATACATAGTTGCAACAACGGAACTAAGATTGATATAAAGCATGAGTAATTTTTGAAGCTAAATGTTACATGGAAATGACAAAGCAAAATGTACCTCAGCTATGGAGTTCACTTCTAGCTCATTTTTCACACAAACACTTCTGACAAGGTTTGCTCCTGATGGAAGTTGAAGAACACGTGTTTGATGTCGCAGCTCCACAGGCAGTGGTTTTACAGGAAAAATTGTAGCAAATATTTCTGATATATTGACTGCCTCTTCTTCTGATAGATTCCCATGGCAGAGGCCTTCGATATGCAACTAGAAGTTTACACACGGAAACAAATAAAGTTTTGACATAAATAAAGATAAACATCATAATATTTAACTTGTTTTACATATGCAGCAGAAACCAATGCAGAAGTTGCAGGTCAGTGATAAAAATATGTAGGAAGAAGTAGATCTATTACTAAGATATATAGATAATTTCAACAGAGTAAATTTAGAGGAGGGATAAAAACGTTCCGCTAACCTGTGATAAAAGAGTAGGAATAAAAGCCTCTAAATCAGAAAGAGGCAAGTTGACTAGGCAGGCCAGCTTATCATCTACATCCCAGAAACATTCACGCAACACTTGTAATCTCAAGTAGGTTGAATGATTCGATGGCTTGATATTGGCATTTCTGTAGGATCTTTCCATATCTTCCTTGATTACCTGAAAATTTTCCGAATTTACAATGTATAATCAAGAGAGATTATTCGGTCACAAGCAGAACTAATTGGAAGTTACGCCATGATATAGGTACATCATACATAGACTACAAACTTTACAAGAAAACCAGACTGAACAAATTAGAGTAAAAATTTCAAGAGGAAACATGTGGTTCCTGCATCACTTATGTGGATTGGATATTTGTGTCCAATTTAATTCCCTTTCTTTCTGTCCATAATCCAACAAAGCTGGCCAGGACCCCCATGGTGAGATGTCAGTCTCATTTAAATGGGAGTTCATTTCTCATTGATCTTTGATGTTTATCTAGAGAAGTAGAAATGAGTCATGGAGTTCAATGTATTTTTTTACCAATAGCTAGTGGGTAAACTTTTACAGTCGAAACCAACTAGAGAATAGCTTAATGCTATGAAGCACGGACACGGACACGGCGACACGGACACGACACGGACATGGCAAAACCCAAAAAAATAGGACACGACAACACGGATAGATTTTTTTAATATTTATTATTATATATAGATCAATATTGAATTAAATTCCTATTACATTTTCATATTTTTTGTTATGTAAAGTGGAGATTATAAATAAGAAACTAATGGAAAGTGTGTGTTGCAGGTGTGAATTAAGACGTAGGGATGACAATGATCTCTTGGAGAACTAAAGACAATAATGTTAATGAAGACAAGAAAGAAAAGATGAACATATAGAAAAATAGATCAATTTTTATGTTGTATTATTATGTAACATTGTCGTGTATAATCAATGACAAATATAAGTTATGTAACTGATTTGAAGATAATACCACATTTTAATTTTCACTACTTTCATCTTGAGTATATAAAAATACAAGAGAATAAAGTTCAAGTTGCAACTAGTTCAATGGCTACAAAATACTAAGTTACTAATATTGCAAAAATATAAAAATTACACTCAAAAGAGTATCTTAAAATAAAGTTTTCAAGTTGAAACATCAAAAATATTATTCTATGGCTTCAACTCATTCATCCTCCTCAAACACAATGGCCTCCATCGTGGGCTTGTCAAGAGAAAGAGCAACAACATCTAACATGTCGGCTCCTTGAAATGAGTAGAAGGCATCTCCACCAATATCTCACATTCTTGATTCCCCTTCCATGTACTCTTTCGAACTCCGAGAAAGTAAACGAAGATTGGTGTGAACATAAACAAGATCCGACGGCCGTGCCGGGATTAGCTTGTTCCTCTTTAAGGAGTGAATGAAATCATACGTACTTCAATCCGTTCACAACAAGAAGAGGAACAAGGTTGGCCTAGAAGCTTTATGACCAATGCTTGTAAATTTGGAGTACTTGCACCATAAAGAAGCCACCATGACTTTGGATCCATATGTCCTCTATCGGAAAGAGGATCCGGATCACTAAAACCCTCTAAAGACCCCACAAACTTAGCATATTCTAAGTTCACCATCCGTCGTTCATCGGGGTTAGGATAATATCTTCTTAAGCACTTTACTCTTTCCGTAGAGATCTCAAGATCTTGATTTGGAGCTTGCCGATTGACGTTCTCATTGAACCATGTGGAATGATAGTACATATGTTCGTTAATAACATGAATTAGCCCACAATGTATTAATTAATTAAAATATTCGTATTAAAGAGTAAAATGTAAAATATTACCTTGGAACTAAAGAGTGTGCCAAGCATTGAAGCGAGGTGTTTCCCTTGTTCCATCGATCCACCAATATCTTGTGAACCACCTCATAAAAAGGAGATTCCTCGTTATCCCTTTTACCATCACGCCTGTAAATAGCTTGCTTCACCTTCTCAATCATTGTATCCCACATATCATACACCAAATGAAGACATAGTGTATCGGTGTCAGTGATCCTTTATCATTTCATAGATTAGGCCAGTGAAGTTAAGAATAAAATCTATTTTGTCCCACCACAAATCATCAAGGACTTTCTCTTTTACAATTGAGCTTTCCCCACATCATCTTCTCTATATAAGCTCCATCGATCACTAAGGACCATGTCTTGGAGGCCTCTCTTGATGACCTTAAACTTCTTCAACATAATAATCCACGAGACAAATCTTATGTCGGCAATCGATAGGAGCTTCATCTTGGAATAATCATTGAACATGGAAAGCCGCATAGAGTGGTTCATTATAAAATTCTTCATAAACAATGCATCATCGGAGATCTCTGTAATCCAATGTAATTGTGCATAAGCCATGATATTTGCTTCCGTATTCTTAGCCGCACAAATATTCTTGATAGCCAGATTGAGTGTATGGACTACACAAGGAGTCCAAAATATGTGAGGCTACGTGCCCTCCACAAGCCCTCCTGCGACCTTGCATGCCGAAGCATTATCGGTTATGATTCGGATGACATTTTTCAGTCTCACCTCTATGATGCACTTTTCTAGTTGTTCTTGGATAAAATACTTATTCTTGACTTCTCCCTCGGTATTCACGACATTCAAGAACATTGACTTACCCTCACATGCCGCCTTAAAATTGATGATGGGCCTCATTTGTGCATCCGCCCGACCATCACTACAAATGGAGATCCCCTTCTGTTGCCATGTGCCTGTGATGGGCTCCATGAATCTCTCTACGTGAGTTTTCTGACGTTGTGAGATAGTGATCCTTATAGAATTGTAACTAGGAGGCTTGTAGCCAGAGATTGGATTGCTTGCGACATATACAAAAGCTTTGGTATAATATGGATTCCTTGTAAAGTTAAAGGACAATCCCCCGGTGAAGAACATCCTACCAATCAATGCATCTAATTCCTCCCTTACTCCCATGTTGAATGCTTGTTCCACGGTATTAGGCCCCTTCCTCCTCTTAGATTCACCTGCACCAATCGGCATGCTTAAACATGCACCTATACTGATCGTACTTGCAGTCGAAGATATAGGCAAAACTAGCATCTTGGGCCTAGAAACCGTCAACCTCGTCTCTGCTTAATCCAACGTCCTTTGAAACTCCCTTAGATTTTCGGGTGTTGACTGGATCACATCTTAATTCCAGTCTCGCTTATCCTCAAGAGGTAATTTTTAACTCTTGAGTGTGAACCGGTAAAATCCTCTCTGCAATAATTACATCTTCATCTCTAATTTCCTCCTGTCGTTACCTCCTTTCCTCCAATTTGGTAACATATTTTCAAAGCGGACATTTGTCATCTTGTACTCCACTGCCACTAGAACTCTCGTCTTGTTCCATTTCTGTGAAATACAATAGCAATAATAATAAATTAAAAAATTAACATTGACTAGAAATTAACATTAACTAGGTAAATTAAAATAGCAATTATTCCAAAATAGCAATTATTCCATTTCTCCAAGTTCATGACTAGGTAAATTAAATAGCAATTAACATTAACATTAACTGTAAAATAGCAATTAACATTAACATTGACTATACTTTAACAGTGACTAGGTAAATTAAATCGGAGAGATAAAAACAAACAGCGAAATATTCTTGAAATTAACTACTGTAATTACATCGGAGAGAGAAAGGGAGAGATAAGAACAGAGAGAGAGAGGGATTGGAGATCGAAAAAAAGAGAGAATCGAAGTAGAAAGGGAGAGAAAGAGGAAGTGATCGGAGACGACAGAGAGATTGAGAGAGACTGAGAGATCGAGAGCGACTGAGAAAGAGATCACAGAGAGAGACTGAGAGAGATCGAGAGATCGGAGAGAGACTAACCGTTAGGGTTGAGGACAATCGAGGCTTGTAGCCGACGAGGACGCTCGAAGCTGGTAGCCGACGAGGACGATCGAAGCTGGTAGCCGACGAGGACGATCGAGGACGACGGGGACGATCGATAGAGATGGCGGCGTTTGCTTCTCAGTCGCGATCGAAGAGAGAGCTAAAGAGCCGGTCGGGTAAGTTAAAACTAGGGTTAGGGTTTGGGTTTCGGGTTTATAGTTTTTCTTTTTTCCTTACCTTTCAGCCGTGTCGGGAGCGAAATGAGCGTGTCGAGGGCGTGTTCGTCGCGAGTCGGCGGCGTTGACCGTGTTGGCGCCATTGACGACGTGTCCGACACGTGTTGAACGCGTGTCGAACATGTGTCCGTCTCCGACAAGCGTCGGACACGGACTCGGGGGATGTTTGCAAGAGTCGGTGCTTCATAGACTTAATGTGCCTGACATCAACGCCATTACACTGGACATTTGTGAGAAAAGGCGCGGAAGTCAAAAGAAACAAAATTAAGTAAATAAATAAATAAATAAAAGAAAAAAAGTGGTTGTGTTTTATAGGTAGCAACCAATACTTGTGATAAGAAATTCATCATTATGTAATATAATTCAAACTTGGTCTTAACAATAAATTGACCCAAGCTTGGTGCATCTAATAGATGTACCTTAATAACCAGGAATAAGCATGGCCTGCAAGCATCATGTTTTAACGAAAGGCCCGACTGATCAAGTCCCAGGTTTTAAACCTCTTGTCCATCGTATCTAGATATAATCTATATACAATAAACTATAGCTCGTCTAAAATTCTAATAACCAGCATAATATCATCCCAACATACACTAAAATTCAATAACCAGCATAATATCATCCCAACGTACACTTACGCAATCACAAATGGAATATATAATCAGGATAGAGATCAAAATCCCAAAGATTAATGTTGACATAAGCAAAATATAGAGACACAGTGAAGTAAATAAGGGAGTCTAATAATGGATAAATAAGTACCTCAAAGCGATCAAGTTTTGGTGAGAAGGATTTTGATAGAGTCAAAATTTTTGCTAGTAAGGTAGATAGTTTATCATTGAAACCGTAGAGCTTGAGCTCAAGACTGTCACCAACGATTGATAAAGATGTTTCAAGCTTTGCAACACCAGCCTGCACACAAAAGAATGATGACTAACGCCAATATTACAAAAGCAGTAGTCACTATAGATATTAGAGTTGAAGTAGTGACTATTGCAACATTCATGTGATTTCATGCTATTAGATGTATTGAACTTTTTCTCGTTAGTATAGACTATTCATGTGATTTCACGCCAATCATGTACAGTAACAGAACCAATATTTAGATGATTGCAAAAGGAGAAATATGGATGAAAGAGGAAACCTGGTTTCTGCAAGTGGAGCATAATCTCACTCCTGCAATAGGACTTTAGGATCGATTTCAAACCTAGAATATGAAATCCAAATAAATATAGTGATGGCTTTGCTAGGCAACTGTGTGTGAGGTCTTGGTCATAGCTGAATATCCATATAAATCAGTCTTTAATGTAATGGCACGAGTTGACATGCTAATTTGGCAAGATTAGTTTTAAAAAAAAACAACTTCAAAGCAGAATATTGGTGCATATTGGTGAAATTAAAAAAAATCACATGTAAAGTACCTGGTACAGTATTTCATTCAGCTCATCTTTGAGAAGATTTAAAAACATCTCGGTCAAAACACAGCTCTTTACACTGCTATATCCGTCCTTCAGAGTAATCAAAAAATAAGTGTTTGCACGAGGAACATTGAATGCTGTGTCAATCTTGTACCAAAATTTCACAAGTGGCTGGTCAATGATGCATTTTGGATAAGTAATACTTGCAAGAAATTTTGATATATCAGCATTGCGAAGTGAGAAGTCACAAGGAATGAACTCATTCTTCAGAGGAAAATGCAAAGATGGATCTAATTCTGATGAATTCTTCCAGGCATCAAGCAGAGAAGGAGGAACATCTTCCTCAGTATAAGGTGATCCAAACCAAGGCTCATACTGAATAGCTGAAATTTGGGGAAGAAATGTGCACCAGATACAAATTTAGAGAACAAAAGTTGCAATGCATAGACCAAAAAATTAAATTATCCAATTCACAGAAGAGGAAACACTTTATATGACTATATACACAACAGACAAAACCTATGAGAAACATAAACATAATATTTTAAATTAATTGCACCTCAGTAGAATCAGGCTACTCTTAAAAATATCTATGATGAAGATACTTCCACTTCACGTTGCAAGTTAAGGCTTATAATTGAAAGTATGCATCACTGAAAGTGATCTACAGCATAAAATATCTCAAAACATATATTCTTGCGATTGCTTGATGCAGCGGCACAAGATAATAGCTAAACTAATTTATGCTTTATATATAGTGTTGTAGATCACATCCAACGATGTAGACTTGAATTCGGTAGCTTATTTTGCCATTTGCGGTGGAATAATTCACATGCATTCAGAATACCTCTGGAAGACGCCGGGTCCACTTCAATGCACTACTTCTTCCTATCTTTATCTTCTTATTATGCAATAACCATATGACAAGCAAGCAATTTAAACTTTAAGAACACTTGTTACAGCTGAGCAGTTGGATGGCATGAAAAAGCAAGGAGCATCAAGTAAGAAGTTATATTCATTGGACCATAACTAAAGGGTATAAAACCTACTGTACATGCAGCATGGTTGTTGGAACATATGTCACCTTTTTTACTGGTGGGCACGATGCAGTAGTCAGTTGTCACATTATAAGATCAATTAACAGCTTAGGGCCCATTGAGAGATTCTGCCTGCAAATTGTGAATGGCAACGACTTACAAATTTCAAGCATCTTAATAGAATAATTTACTAACTTCTTTCGGACCAACAGTCTAAAATTGAATCGTACATCACCATAGGACATCTAGAGTCTGCACCACGGACTACTCTATCCTTCTACACACAAATGTGACAACTGCGAGCCCATATGCAAGAAGGTACTTCCAGCAAACATATGATGGCAGTATCTCTTAAAAGTATGAATCGGGAAGCAAACAGGCTCTTCTCCAACACTTTCATTAAAATCTTGAAAGTGAAATACGTAAAGATATTCATAGACTCAATTAAAATCTTCAAACTGAATTCCTAAAGATATTAGTCTGAGATAAATTAAACATTAGCCTTCAACATGCCATCAACAGTATGATGATACAATAGCGCATTTCTAGGCTATATTCTACGCAAGCACGCAATCATGTGCGTGCACACACATGTATATTGGAAATAACGGATAAGATGTGGCAGCTCAATATGTTAAATGAGCTACCAAGAGTTGGACATATGAGGAGGCCCACCCTACTAATCACATCACATCAACAAACACAGATGTAAAGGAAATAATGGATGGGATGTGGCGGCTCATTTTGGTAAATGAGCTCCCAAGAGACTGACATCTAATGAGGCCCACCCTCCTAATCACATCGCATGGGTGGGTCTCACCACCGATATCTTGGTAGCACATTACACAAAACGAGCCACCACAGCGTGACACGCATGCATGCTCGCTTGCACACACTGCAGACATAGAAACTTTTAGGTAACCAGGATTGAAGGTCATATACCAGCTGAACATATGTACATACTCTTGTTTAATGTAACACAAATCGATCAACCTCATCAAAGGATTTTTGACGTGGTACAGTAAACATTTTGCCCTGAAAAATGTTGTTCTTCCTCCTCGATCATGATTTGGAATGCAAATTTACCACCCTCATGTTACCTATTGCCTACATAGTTAATTATAATGCACAAGGTCCACTACAGCTCATAGTTAACTATAATGCACAAGATCCAGTATGGGAATCATTAACCTAAAGGACTGACTTAGATATGATGTAGATAAATCATTCAGCACCATATCACTATACAGAAAAGCCAAGAATTACCTTGTGATTTCTTGTCAAAAGACTTCGACAGTATGTCAATCCTCATATGATCCGGTGTGAAAAAGCTGAGAACTGATTCAATCAATTTTGGATCCCATTGCTCAAATGCATATTCTCCATATATGATGTGATCTTCTGAATAGAAAAGCAAATTCTCTGCGACATAAATTCTCAAATCAGTTACACTTAGCATGGAACCTCATTACCACTATCAGTTTAACCATTTTGTGCCAAAAAAATTCGAGCAGGGTTCTTAATTGCAGATATGCTTGCAAACCTAGATGGAACCATAGCGCATGACTGCACATTATGTTAGTGATATCTAAACTAGTGAACAAAAAGAAAATATTATAACCACAAGAGTCTCGGAAAGCAGTCTTAGAGTGCAAATGTATTAAAGTAATATATAGCAAGGAACCTGAAAGTTCAGCTACATAATCATCTTGGGGCTGCTCCTCGGCAAACCTGAACTCCATATTCCCAATATCTTGAAGTTCCTTAAATATCCACTCTTGCGGAGCAGATTGCCGCAGTAATTTAATATACTGATATACCACACTGATAACCTCAGGAATCTGGTGAAAAGATACCGATTAAAAAGTAGTGGATGGAAATAAGCAGAACCATGTTCATAAACAAAAACAAATACCAAAGAAGATGCAAGAAAAAAGGTATTCCCCTTACAGGCAAGGATATTTCAATAATTTCATTTATTTTGATTTAGCATATAGCCAAGCTCCTGTTATTCATTTTTTATTCCAGGTTACAGTTTATCATAAATGACACAAATTTTTCTGTATCCCTGAAGCCTTCTTTCTCAATTAGAATTATGCTCTATAGCCAAACACATTTAAATAGGGGGAAGATGACTACAATGATACTCATTTGTAGCTAAATGGTTCCAGGTTATAATACTGTGATCATCATGTTATGAATGACTATGAAGCAGTTTACCAACAATATTATGGTACCTTTAAATATTTTCCCCCCCTCACCACGCTTCTAATCAACTAGATGTGTCTTGCTCTTGGCAATATCTACTACTGTCCACATCAGACACACATGTTAAATCCTAAGACACACATGTTAAATCCTAGTAGTCAATCTATCAAGGTATTTAACTATTATAGCTTCATGCTTTCAGTTATAAAGATTATATAACAATGCTAACTATATAACAACCTATACAAGTGAATACTTTCTGAGCTTCCTTTTCATAATGTAAGTACTCCTCCCTTGTTGAAGATCTAATAGAAGGGCATATGACCTGCTGTTTATCTTTGTCAACTACTTGCTGCCTTTCAGTTTATCCTTCTAGGGTATCATAAATAGAAGAACTGAAACTACCAGTCCCTCCATCAACTTAATCTTATACCTGACATAGGTCTGAAATTGCACGAGTACCCAATGAGCGCATTTTATCAAAATACCCATAAGACCATGCAGTAAAAAAAATGGCATGCAGACATGAATAGAGATAGAAAAGCCAACTGAAACATGTAAATGGAACTAATCACGATTATGGGGTTTTAACCTTTGATAAACAATGCTTACTGACGAATGACAGTAAACCCTCAGCCCCCTAAAAATCTAAACACCCAAAAGTGAATATGAGGATGACATGAGACTGCAAGGGGTCATATGAAAGAACAAGCCATAAGTGAAACATAATACGAAAGAATTCTAAGAAGAAAAAAAGATCTTGCAGAAAAAGCCAATTACACTTGAATATACAAATGAGAACAAGAACCAAGAAAGAAAGAAGACAAAAGGATCGTTAATGCTTCCTATGATTTATGAAACTCAGAAACATAGAAGTCTCGAATGAGATGGCTGTGTCATTATTCACATATGCACTTAGATTCCAACAATGGATGAAGAATATGACCATGGCCCAACAATGTGTACTTTACAATTCTGGAGTAAGTTCCTCCAAAGTCACTAGCAACGTACACCTGACAATAGTGATTAAGGTGATCTTAAGTCGAAGCTTTTTAGTTTAATAGCTTTCTCCTTGGTCATCTAAGTTTTAACTCTCAGATGTGGAAGATGCTGATGAGATGGAGAACACCTAACAAAAAAAAGAAGAAGAAAAAACTTAATGCGATAAGAATAGTCCTACTACCACAACAACAATCCGCAACATGCTATCCAATTCAAATAAACTGTTTGTGTTATATCAAACAAGAACAGCCACAAGGAATAACATCATAATTATACTATATAAATGATACTAGAACAATGAAAGTCAAGTTATGCATAACCATGCTGACGAAAGTGTAATCTCAATCGCTGACAACCTATTTTGCATGGACATGGATACGAGTATCGTATGTATGCGCGGGTACGGCTATGCAACACGCCAATTAGTAAAAGGTAGGGCACAGGGACGCATCAATATACATTTATTGGAATTAATAATTTACATAAGATTGATAATATTTTTTCATTCACATGTTATGAGAATTAAAATTCCCACGAGATTTTTATGTTTCTTATATTATGTAGATTATAAATTGGAAAATCAATCATTTTTGAACAAGATACCCAAACGACTTTTAAAATCATAGTTTTGAACTAAGTACGGATTGAAATGAAGCTGTCCAACAAGTTTCAAGAAGTGAACATGAAGTGTAGGATAAACGTCAAAAAGGTGTAATACGAGTGTTTGAAATTAAAGTGCACATTTGAATACACGTATGCATATAATCAAGGAATGTCCAAGAAGTATCGGTGTTCGATACGGGTATGGTACATAATAAAAGTGTCAATGAGTGTATGGGGAGTGTCAGTGTCTAGTACATGTCGGGTATGGGTATGACTTCATGATTGAAGTACGCACGTAACATAGTGAGCTTGGCAAGTGTGAGAGGCACATGCAAGAACAAAATAGTCTACATCTAGAGGCACATGCAGATGGGTGTTAAGATATCGTTATATGCTAATCTACATAGCAGCATTTTTATCCGTTCATAATGCTCCGCATGCGAGCAGGGCAGTTCCTGATGCACAATGACTTGATAGGGGCATATTTTGGCATTTCATCCCCTCGTGTGCACCTGAAAACACCCCGGTCACGGGTGAGGCGCTAAGAGAGGATGTGTAATCAATGTAACATGGACAAGTTATATCCACACATATCAGATACAATGACACAAGTGGAAGACATTATATCCTCTCCATGAACACATGCTGCACACTTCTCAAATGTGTCCTCAATTATATAATACACTTTATAATTTAAGACACTCATTGGACACTTCTTAACAAATGTTCTGCCTATCTGGTACGCTTTTTTGTTCAACTCATATTTATGTATATGGAAGAATGTCTTTAATGAAAAAGGACTGCAAAGATAGCTACTTCCTTAAAATAATGATAAATTTAGATATGTTTCGAAGTAAGAGCTACATTGAGCTTATCTTGGAAAGTTAAAAGAGCCTAGGTTTATTCTTTTTGCAAAGACAAAAAATTGTTGTACACTATTTAACATATATTTAACTATTATCTGTCATTATATTATTAAATATGTGTGCCTAGTCTTCTGGATGACTGACATGATTGTCTGTCTACATGTGCACCCCTTTGGTTATTTATTCATATCATAGTATATCGTCAACTGTCTCCCCACATTTCAAGGAAATAAAATGCCACAGCTTCATGTTCGATGCATCTTAGCAATAATATATGTAAAAATTATTTATCTAACCATTCAGGACTGACTCGGTGATAAAGCAAGATGTTAGGTTATGGAGGTCGCAGTAGAAACCAAGTCATGAGTTTTGTTCAAAATAATAATAGTAGTACTAATACTAATAATGATGATGATAACAATGATAACATGACAATCCTATGCTCCATCTAGATTCCTGGTTGCATGAACTTTAGAGTGCATGAGAACCAAATGTTGGTTGACTCACCTAAACATGGAGTTCCAAGTTCTTAGGCAAGATTCTCCCCTTCATAGTTTTTTTAACCCATGAAGTAGACACCAGTCCTCTTAGGAGTAGAGTCAAAATGACTGCCAATTGTAATTTGTAAAACTGTGGTTAGTCATTTATTGAAGCTTCCTCTTTACGCTTTCAAAGCTGACCCATTTCCATGAGAAAAAAAGCTGACCCATTTCCATGAGAAAAACACAATTTATGATTCAGATGTTGTATCTAGAAACATATAGTGTCAGTGACAATGACAATTAGCATTTATGCTTGTGGGACTGGGGGAGTTGGCCATGTCAAGCTTGAAAGCATGTCTTTCCCTGTATCAATTCCACTTACATTTACAGATGCAGAAAAACAGTATCATTATTCACCATCATCTGTCAATTTCAAATACGACGTGCAACATTGTTTTAGATATCCCTCCCGTGACCAATATATCGCTCAATATATCCTTGATAAGGCTTGCTGCAAAATATATGATCTCAATGTATTTACCATTTTTGGCAATTTTTGGGCCATGTATCATGATTTCTCTAACATATCAGGTGATATTTCAACCTCAGAAAAATTGGCCAAAATATTGCAATGTCTATTTGGACTTTTATTTGTTTTAAAAGACTGGTTTTGATCTATGGTTCAATTGAGGTCTAAACCCAAACAAATGTCTGCTTATGTAAATAAGCAAAAACAAAAGTTTCAATTGAGACCAAATTCTTTTGCAAAGCATACTCTTTCTCATAGCTCCATTTTTTAGCATCAGTGCAATCTTTTTTAAACTGTGGATCAAGTATGAAATCTGAGTATATTATATATATAATAATATATATATTATATATATGTATATATATATATATAATATATATATATATGCATATATATATATATATACTAGTATATATATGATGCAAACTTGTGTTCATAAGTGAGATAGCAAAAAGTGCCACCAAACTTTTTACATTGATGTTGACCCTACTGGATCATGAAAGATATTGAAGAGGTTTTTGTATATATATAAATGAGTTAGCTAAAAGTTTGTAAGACATCCATCTTAATGAGTTGAATAAGAATCAACTCTATATATATATATACTATATATATATATAATATATATTATAATATATTGTACTATATATATTATAATATATTATATAATATATATTATGAGAAATTTGGGGGATATGCTTTGGATACCATAGCACAAATTTTGGTGCTTCGGATAGTGATGTTGTCACATCACCCATCCAGCTATGTACATGGTGATGTGTGGTCTCACATTTGAATGAGTGGAGGAGAGATGTGAACACCTCACTACTAACCACACTTTTTGTGTTATGGCGTACAAGAATACCCATCTCTCTCTCGTCTCTCTTCTCTCTCTATAATATACTATACTACTTATATTATATATATATATATATAATATAATGTAATTAATACTATAATCATATAATAACGCGCGTATCCATATTACAGGCCATATTTATTAGATATTCTGGCTCGATATATCCCTAATATCTGCACTCCAATATGGACTTTTTCCTTCCGACATTTAGAACATCGTGTACAAATATAACCTACGTTAGCTGGGTGCTTCTAATTTGAAGTTGTATCCGTACCGGACATGTACCCATACCCAAACTGCTTGGACACTCCCTACATATATGCATACATTTATTCAGGCATGTACCCAATTATACAATCCATGTTCAATTGCCCTGCATTTTCTAGATACATATCCTACACTTAACATCAGCTTCTTAAAAGTTGTTCCGACATAAGCCGGGTTCCGAATCATGACTTTCAAGGGTTGTTTGGATGTCTAGTTCGGAAACTAGTGATTTTCCAATTTATATTCACATAATAAAAGAACCATAAAATGTTATAGGAAATTTATTTCTCATTCTCATTCCCATATAAATTATTAATTCCAATATACAATATATGTGTATATAAATATTTATATAGTCACATCCTCGTACCCTACCTTTTACAAATTTACCGTGTCTCATACCCGTACACATACCAATATCCGTATGTGTACCCATACCCATGCAACATAGAATATAACAAATCAAAAAACAAAATACTGATAGTATTTTATATAGAAAGAAAATAATAGTGTACCTTTCCTAGTCCTGAATCTGTCAGGTGTATAGTCATCACGAAGACATACGCAAAAGACGAGCGGCACATTCCATCATCGCCAACACCAGCAGCCAATGAAGATGCCCATCCTTTGGCTTTTAAATAAGAAAGCAGGCTTCCCCTTCCCTCTGAAAGTTTGATCCTTGTTGATTAGTTTGATTGATATTCATTAATATACACAAATTATGTTTGTATTCGATTAGTAGTGTACCATTCATATTTCAACATTTGTTCACATCCATAATAGAAAAACAAGAACCTAACAAGACTACACCATAAGACGTCAGTGCACAAAGAATATGCTTCAGGAAAAAATGAAGATGAGAAATGTATCTTCCAGATGACAGAGTAAGAGATCAGAGCAAGCATGACTAACAGCAAGCATGACTAACTGTATAATATGTCATACAGAATACTAGATTGTCTTACCCGTGCAAAAGCACATGAATAAAAGTAAAAATTAATATAAGATTTCAAATGTTTAAATAATTGCCATTTGTAAAAGCACATGGAATATAATATTTTTTTTTGTTACACGTTTAATACTTTAATAGAATTTGCCTAACCATATCCTTCTAACATTTACTATTTAATAATTTTCTGTTACAGTCCATTTCAAATAGCATGTCTTCAATATGCCATCAAAAACATTGTTGTTTATTTGAAAAATATTCCTCCTTTATTGTAGTATCCTTTAAACATAGGGATCTTTCAGTGATTTATGGGCAAGAGTCAAGACATTGTATACACCACTTCTCAGGGTTTTGGAGTTATATATAGTAGATATAAAGATGTACCTCGCAACAACGTTCATATCTGAGTAATAAACAGAGTGATTGATAGGACAGAATAGAGAACTCTAAATAGTTATAAATCATAATACTTGATAGAAGATATACCAAAAGCAATGAATTACAAAACCTATTGAAGGCACATTGATATGATAAAATAACATGATAAGAGAGAAAACAGCTGGTCTTACCCTTACCATCTTCTACCAAACAAGATATTTGTTCAACAAAAAGTTTTTCAAGATGACTAATACAGAATACATTAACAGTGATAGTATCAGATAAGTAAAGAAATTACAGATGCTAGTCTCTCAAATATCAAATACTCTTTCATGCTCTCAATTATAAGGACTCTAACGAGATATAAAATGTAATAGAAGGAAAGTATATTTGGTATTTACATTGCCAAAAACACTTGTGGGAGGTGTCACAAATATGCAAGTGCAATTGCCGCGCTTGTGATAATCAAGATAAGTCCTTGCGCAAGGGGAAGAGAATATCTTATGACAAGTTACAAAAGAAAAGTTAATAAAACAAGGCCTTTTCATCTGTCAAACTCCTTAAAAACCCTAATTCTAACACTTCTATCAAGAGTTTATGCCTATATATTGAAGCCTTGAACACTGCAAGGCTTATCAAGCAAATATATTTAAAATTGAAAATAACATAAAAATTCTAGCTTTCAGTTAGACAGAGACACAAAGGCGAAAAAATATATCAAAGCTTCTGAAAATAGGATTAAGTAGAGGAACAATTTCTAATCCACTAAAAATTATAAATCAAATGTGTTTGTATATTTAAATGTATATAAATAATAAAGACTTCCATACCATGTCCCATGAGATGTGATATGTAATCTTCGGGCTTCTTCAGATACTCTTTATGAAGACAAGGTAATGACCATGATAATTCTAGGATATGAACATCTTTAACAGCTTCTAATCTGTAAAATTTACCAGGCTTCCAAACAGGCATGTCATTCCTAGAGCTCATCTTTGATTGATGACCTTTTCTGACATCACTGAAAAGTTCTGTTACCCACTCCTCCAAAATGTCAAGGGACTCTGCAATAGTGAAGGATGACATATAAAATACCCCCCCAAAAAAATAAGTGCAGTAGATACTGCAAGTTAATCTTCTTTTGAATCAAAGGCAATTCTCATTACCAAAGATAGTTACCATACTAAGATAATAAGAAGATTGTTGATGCAGTACGAATATCATATTCATATCAACTCACCTCCACCGATTACAGCAAGTTTCATCATTCCCCCATGATAATTTTCTCTGTACAATTTCAATATTTCTTCTCGCAAATTTATACCATTTTCCATCGCATCAACCAGACTTTTCTTATTTCCTGTGAGTTGGATAAAGAATTAGAAATACAGATTTGGTTTAACAGCAGTAGACAAACACATGATTGGCAGTGAAACTTACCCCAGCAGAATCTATTAAATGGGTGACTGGGGATAGATGTATGGCATTGGACCTGTTGAAGTCGGCAGCTGTCACTTTGCAGAACTTGATTAAATTCTACAATTTGTTAACATAGAGAGGTAGATTTAGCATGTAATAATATCACTAATAAGATAGAAACAAATTATAACATAAAATATAAATAATATCCAAATTAAGGTGCATACCTGAATCCACTGCTAATACCTCACGCTCCATAGCTTCAGCCTTAACTAATGGTGAAACAAAGAACCGAGAAAACCTAAGGAAAATGGAACAAGTTAAAGAAAAAAGAAAAAGAGAAGTAACATGTGTGATTCCCGATAATATTCAGGGCATGAACTTTAGAAATATGAACAAACTACAAAAGAACAAAGAAAATAGATGCAAAAGAATCTGTCCCATCTACCTATATATCTACCTATCTACTGACTGATGTATATCTATATTAGTATTTGTGTGCATCCACGTGTGTGTACTGCCAATTAAAATTGTTTGAATCAATTATCAACAAACAATAAAAAAAGTCTGCTGCAATAAAAAATGGACAAAGCAAATATATGCAATTACCTTTTTAGAGCTCCCTTAAGGTATTCCCTATTAACTTCGAAGTGGTAGCATGTGTGCTCAGTTTCAGTGTAGGCATTAGATGAACCCCCATGCTTTGACAAGTAACTATCATACTAGAAACAAAAGACTAAATTAGAAGACCAACGGCCAGTTGACCAAAATTGCCAGCAAGTACAGCAAAAGATAATAAGTTGCAGCAAAAATACAGGAACATATTAATAGAATGAGCCATAGATTAACAGTCTAGGACACACATAAGTCTATTAAAAAGCTGAAGTACATATAAAGCTAAACTAAACATCTCCTCTGCACAATTTTGTCTCCACATCTATTGAATTGTCATATTCCCTCTTGCAAGATGACTATCTGTTGCACTTTTACTTTTCAATTACTGACTAAAAAGAAAATAAGAAATATACTGTATTAACAAAGTGATAAGGGAGACGGAGTCCAAATCTTGGAAATGTGATAACCATGGACTAATTATAGTAATAAATACTTAAAGCCTGTGTCATTGGCATGGTAAGTGTGGTGGAGACTCAGCTTAAGAAGCTTGCTCTTCGCTAATTCCAGGGGAAGAGTTGCTAATTGCATAAATTATCAAATTGGCAGAAAGGTAAGTGATGCAGTCCTCTAGCGCTGCATCACTAAGACATTTTTGATCGATTAAGGTAGGTGGCAAACACCATTTATCAATGGATAGAAAATTCCTCTAAACATCATAGGACTGCACGTAACCAGTGAGCTGACGTCTTCCATCACAAGCATGCATTTTACCAGCAATCTCTTTTTTCCCTCTCAAAAGGGATGGTACTTAAAAGGCAAGAAAGGATGGTGCTGTGATTTATGATAATAACTCAAGAGAATATTTTCAATCAAATATAAGTCTGAATAAGCATTGAAAAGATAGAATCAAACCTCATTTTCATCTGGAAAGTCAGAACTCCCCATGAAAAGCATGTGCTCTGCAAAACAAGAATTCCAATTCAGACCATCATCAGATTAATTGTGGGATGAGATTTTTATAATTTACAAAAATTTATTTACTATGACCTCCAAGCCTTTTACATCTAAAACTAGTGACAGTGCATAACATCTTAATGAGCATTGCAGTTGATGAGCAGAAGACAATGATGAGAAAACTTCTGTTTAGAAAATCACTAAAATATTGTTTTCTTCTCTTTCTTTCTTTTTTTAACTTTTCGTGCAGACGTATAAAGGTGTGTGGGGTTTGGATAGGGGGAGCACAGAAAAGTAGCACCAGAAGAATTACGAAATTTCAGAATGAGTTACCAATAAGACAACATCAAATTCAAAATGATATAGCAACAGATCAAATACAATTAATAAGACAATAAAGAAATCTGAAATCTCGAGATTAAGAAAATAAGTATTTCTGAGGTGCACAGTGGTGATTAGCTATTACAATGTTGAGGAACCCAGTTTATGTGACTCACAATATTTATCCAAATCATATATAACAGATATTATTGCTTAATGTACTGCTAATCTTCATGGATGGCAGCTTATAACAGTCCCACAAGGAAGAATAGATGTCTGAAAACATGAACATGAAATATATGTAAATTCGGACAATCCCATATGATTAGTCTAATCTAGTAATTTTGTTAAGGTTCGAATACCTATGTTGTCAGAATCCTTGGATGATGCACACTCAGCATCCACCTCCTCCATGCTGTTTCACAGTTCTAGTTTTTAATATTGCTACTAGCACATCAGCTCGTGCATAATACACATGCTAAAAAAGAAAATAAATCAGAAAAAGGAGTTTGTATGTGAATATTTCTATTCAACATCATTTAACAAAAACTCAGAAGTTATATCTTTTAAGGGTTAATCTGCTGAAGAGAATGAAATTCGATAAATGGCTTTGTAATAATGTCATTTTAATTTTTTTTGTTTTATTTTATTTTATTTTTGTTACATTACCTGCTAATAGCTCATAGGTTATGTTGAAATTGAATAGGTGATTTAAGAGGAAATAAAATAAACAGAAAGCATTTTTTGGGGGGGCAGAGGGGGGGGGGATGAGGGATGAAGTGACATTTATTGAATAGGTGACATTTATTATTATTTTAAGTTAAATTATTAGTTTGCCCCTAACAACTCTACATGTGTCCTCCTTTTCTCTATTCCTTCTCTTACGCTCACTATTGTAATTATACATCTACTTCTCTATACTCAAGGATAGAAAGTTTTACTGTTTGTGCTACAGTAAATTACGGTAGTATGGCCAATAGCTCTTTATTCCTCCTCCGAGTATAATGGTGTAAATTTACTGTTTATACTATAGTTTTTTACTATACCATGAACAGTAAATCTAAGTATAGAACAATGGATATGATTTCTAATTTCAGACATACAATAATAAAATCAAATGCATTAAACATTAGAGGGAAGCAGGTTCAAAATGCAATGCTTAAAAAAACAGGGGTCGTGCTTTGCACGGGGTACACACTAGTTAGTATATATTTGGTAACAGCAGGAAATCATTCTTTTATGAAAGTTGACAGGATGTGTTTGTCCCATCAGGTGCAGGTATATGCCTTTAGGTAATTCTAGTTCTTTAAAAATGAAATGGTATGTCTACTCTCACAGAGATCAAATGCTTCATATTCATAATACACTACAAAGCAGCTAATATTTGACAGCTCCTTGGAATAATCGGGTGAGTTTGGAGGCATTTTAACATAAGGTCATTGCATAGAACCATTCAATTTTTGCTATATTACAATTTTCCAATTCACAATTAAGAATTGATATGCTTCATAATGCAATATGAACAGATAATATTTGGAGGCATTAACAATAGGAGATTGCACAGGAACCATTCATTTTTTTTAATTAATCATGATTTTCAATTCCGCAAAATAATGAAGCTGGCATTTATCTAATATATGATAGAAAATAAACATTAATCTCAGGTGATCAGAGCGATAATATCTTAGAAACAGTATTTAATGATAAAAAATAGAAACACTACCTGGAGTTTTTCTGACCAAATTGCAACACAAAAATAGCTAATTTAACTCAACATAAAAAATAATCCACTAAAATAAAAATATACGGGCCCTATCATCAACATAGAAAAATCCAACATAATAAAGACCAAACACCAACCGCTAACAGAAATTAAGATCATACGAACTGTTACTGTAGACAATTCTCGACACCTATATGAATAAAAAATAACCCACAGAGTTTATCAGAAGCTTAACGAACGGAGGTAAAAGAAAATAAATAAATAATACCATTTATTGATAAAAACAGAAGGGAATTATAGAACCTGCTGTATTGCCAAGAGAAAGGGAAGCAAAACAAACCTAAAAAATGGGCAAGACCCTGGGCATTAGAAGGGTCAGAGAAGCTTCCCATTCCTACACACATTGCTGCAGCAGCCTGGATGGCATCAAGTGAACAAGAATCTTATAAGAACAGTTAAAAAGAAAGAATCCAATGAGAAATGGTAAACTTCTAAAAGGAAGAAATTAGATAAGGGAGAATCAGCAGGTTATTCAATAAATCTAGCTGAAACACAGCAGAAGTACAAAAAGCACACCCAATATGCTTATCTCAACATCAACTATCTATTAGATTTCCATCATCGCATAATAGAGAACCTTGTATTCACCCCTAAATTTCCTATGATAACTAGATAAATCCATGTAATACTAGAATAATCATCAACAAATATGATAAAATATTGATGTCCGCTATTAGACTGATGCGGAAGCAATAGCCGTTGTTATTTTGAGAGAAATCAATTGTGTGAAGATCGGGCAATCCAAGAAAAGAGGGCGACTTTCAGCCAGATTGTGATGTGCAACTTCAGCGGAGCATACTTTTTATTCCCTTAATAGAATCACTATTATAATATGTTTTTGGAAGGAAAACTCTGGAAGTTCTCTACACCATGAACCAAGTTGTCATTCCAACCGAGTTTCGGGACCAAAGGAATTTGACCTTCACAACAGCCTTGACCGCGAGTATTCTCAGGTTTTTCTTCACGGATTCCAAAATGAGTATGTTTTTCTCCTTGGTTGTGCAGACAAAGCTGATTTCTCTTCTATTTCTTTTTGAGAAAAGTTTGAGAAATATTACATAGCAAGTGATATGTATCTGACAGGCTGACAGCGACATTTACATCCAAGAGAAATTTTTTGATCTTTGCCATCTCATTCTCCTTAAGAAAATAAATATCTCCAGCTGAGCTTGTTACCTCTGCATCTTCTTCAGACCACGTGGCGGAAAAATCTCCCAAAACTCATTAAGGAGCTTGTTGAACTATGCATAATACTCATCCAAATTCTTATTTACCAACTGACATCTCGCAAACTCTTGTGAAAATGAGTAGGCTCGTGCCAAGATACTCTTCCTATCAAAAATCTTTCTGGTCAAGTATTCCGAAACAACACGAGTAAATCTGTTACTGGTGACCATAACTTGGCTCCTATCGCAACTTTGCAACCAAAGACAAATGTTGAGCATCACCTACCTCACTCTTAAATCAATCAAAACTTCTAGCAATGGCGTACCACCCTTTAGATAACCAAACAAATTACTCAAAAACAAAAAGACCCCAATGCGAACTTTGAACTAGTTTCAACAAAAAAAAAAACAACCATGTAAACAATATCAAAATCCAACACCATGTCCAAACAGTAAAATAAAGGGAAAATTCCAACACCAAAATAAAAACAAACACCAACCAAAAGGACGAGCGAGGCATTAACACCAAAATAAAAGTGGATGGTGATGTTTTGAATATAAAGGAGGTGTTACTGCCTATACAATTATAAGCTTTCAAGCCAGATTTAAAAGGATGTTAATGTCGACATAATATGTGTGTTAACATTGGGGTTTAAAAGACATGTTAATGCGTACATAACGGGCCGCATAAAATAATTCTTAAGGTGGCCAGATGGCAAGCAGCAGCGAGGGCAGCCTATGGGATGGCAGCCACAATTGGGGTGGCAAAGGGGCAATGACTAGTAGGTTAAGAATTTAGGGATTTATGGAATAGGCTACTAAATTTTATTTAGAGAATCATGGATCTAACACCATGTTAAACAATCAACTAACTACTCTTTCTCATTAACTGAAAGGGGATACAGCTGCATACATCCTTTTATATAGAGATAGAAGATGAGAAAGTATCATATGAAGAACATAGTAACAAAGAAACATTTTCAGAAATTGAAGAACAGAGGCCAAAATATTACAAGGGTCAACATCTCCACACAAAAGAAATCAACTAAGAAACAATAGCTTCTACTCATTACAACATGCATTTCATCAACTAACAACTTCAATATTAGCTCACAAAAACAATGGGAAAGAGAAAATCTAAGTATATATCTCAGGTGGAACCAAATCTAGCCAATATCTACATATGTAACAATAATCTCAGATCAATGGAATTAAAAGATCAATCACCATACTATGAAGCTATACACATATTCAAGAAATTTGCTACATTATCCTCAAGAATTCCAACAGACCCGTTCAAGAAACAGATCTAGCTTTTTTTTAACAAAGAAAATTAAGAACTAATCAAGCAAAGTAACTAGCTAAAAGAAATGGAGATATTAATGGGGACTGAGGGTGCATGATGGATGGGGGTGGAGAGCGGTGGAGGACTACTAGGCATCTGATGGTGGAGTGTTAGCTTCGGGAGTCTCTCTGGTGGGT